GGACAAAGGTGGAAAACATAATCCTGATGTAACTTATTCTACAGGCCTGAATGATCGAGCTGTTAGAGATTCCGAATGCGGAAGTCACTTACCCATTTACCCTCTGACTCTTGACGGGGGTACGGGGACGAAAAACAAATTAACATTTTGCCAAGTTGATGCTTTCCCAAAAGAAACTGATCAAACCAGGGCAAAAGGTAAAGCTGGTAAGCTGAGAAACTGACAAATTACCATTCACGACAATCGCAAGTTTACCGCTTTTCTAAGTTTCGATGATTCTCTATTAAGGTGATATCTATCGGACCATAACTACATGTTCAGCGGGGCTAAGCCGAGTTGATCGTGATTACATTTATAATCTGGCATCAAGTGCTGATGGACCACTGCTGAAGGTACAATATATTCCAAAACTAATTGCAACTCAATTCGAAATTTCTGCAAACATCCACATACAACCTTTCGCAACCTATTTGTTCGGAAATTTAGGTGGATTTTTCTCAGTCCGGAGAAAGCTCTATAAAAAAACTCCTCAAAAAAGCTGTGATATGCGAAACTAAACAAGTAATCGCATTCATTCATTATGAAGGATTATATGGCGTAGGGCCCAGAGGCTTTTGATCTCGACGGTTTCGGAATTCGTATTTAGCAATTCAAATAATCTCTAATGGTAAACTTAGGGCCGCATCCAGCTCAGCTACGAAGCAGCTTCTAGAGAAGGGCTGAAGTTGAGGCGTTGCGATTGTAGAGGTTTAGGGTACTCGAGCTCCTCAGAGGCTCTTTCTTGAAGTGACTTTTATTCAGGAAGCCCCTCCAGAGTTACGTGGTTGGAATATTGATGGAAAGGGTGGTTTCATTCGAAAGGAGCATTGGATGGTGAGTATGTTGAGTCTTCTGCATCTGAAAATTCCAGACTCAATTCATGAAGTCAGAACTGTTTGCCTACTTCCACAATTCCATCTCTGGTTATTGAGGTTTCTATATTTTTAGGCTATTTTAGAAAAATTTGTATTTCAGGTCGTAGAGATGACGGCTGCTGGTGTTCGTGATGGCAAATTCATCGATCCGGTGATGAGGCGAATTCGTTATGATAAAGACATCGACGAAGTGGACACGATGACGACATTCCTGGATTATGAGCAGGTTAATAGGCTTTGCTTGGACGGTGCTGGTTGCCTACTGCTCTGTTTCTGTTATAAGAAGAAGAAGCTGAAAGAGCTAGTCTTCCTGTCATCCAGGAGTCCGGTTATTAGGGGTTGTGGGAGTACATTACATTTTGCCACTCTGTTGTGTCTGCCAAAGCATTTCGATGGGTAGGATCAAAATTTTTCCACGATTGAGGTGATGGGTGAGCATTGAGTTCATTAATAGGTTCTGATTGTGGAGACGAATAGTTCCATCAGTGTTTCGGGACGCTGATCAATGTTGGTAGCTACGGCTAGTTCCTGGTTAGGGAATTATTCAGAAGTTGTTGTTGAAGGAGTTGGTTTCTGTAGCAAACCTGATTTTATCTTGATATTGTCCGCTAGCCCTAGGTGTGGCGGAGGTAGGTTTAGGGGAAGGATACCGAATTTTAGAAATGGGAAAGAATCAAGAAGTGATTTTTCAGTTAAGTGTTTATCCGCGCCCCGAACCACTGATGGAACTCCGAGTGAAATAACTCATTTCTTATTATTTTTACTAATTCAGACATTATCGATGAGCAAACTCTCTTCAAAAAGTCCAGCAAAAGAGAAGAAGAAGAAGGTCACGAAAAGGATGATGGCTGAAGCGAGTGAGTTTGACCAAGAATAAATGGACACTGCATAAAATCTTTTATGCCATAGTAGCATAGTACTGTAAATACTCATGGGAAGGACGAAACCTTTCACTGAACCTGCTTCATGTTTATTTTTCACCACCTACCTGCTGGACTTTACAAGACTGGGCTCATTACCCCCACCCCACCTCCCCTCGCTAAATTTCGGGCAAACAACCCATCTGTCAACCAGAAATATCCACCAGGGAAACCTGCTAAGAAATATGTGTGAAGCTCCACAGTCTTAAAAGTCTTATAAGCCAAAGAAGTCAACGAT